TTCCCTTGGGAGAAGAGGCCAACCCCCACCTCTCTACACCCTCCTTTCATGGAGCTGTAGAGGGCAATGAGGTCTCCCCTCAGCCTCCTCTTCTCCAAACTAAACATACCCAGTTCCCTCAGGCTTTCCTCGTAGGACTTGTTCTCTAGATGAGATTCTGCACAGCCTGGGGTGCAGGGTGGTTTGCTCACGTCCATCCTCCCTGGAATAAGGCTCTGCTGCTAAAGATTGGGATGCATTTTCATATGAGGCTCCCTTAGGAAATGCCCATCACGGCTGAGGAGGCTGAGAGCACGGATCCCTCCCACACCCGGGCAAATGCAGCCCTGAACTCCTCCTGCCAGATGGGACCAGAGCTGAGACAAGCCCGGCTGGCTGGAAGTCCAGCACCAAGACTGGCAGAGGCCTCTTGCCTCTGCAGGATACAAGCCTTAAAGCCAGTCTATCTTCATCACTGAGCTAAAATCAGCCATTTTTGTCCAAAGTGGCAAGACGTAAATAAATAAAAACTACTAAATATTTCCAATGGAGGCTGGCTGCTGGTTCCACTCTCCCACCATGTCCTTGAGGGATGGGTGTTGCTGGTTGTAAGTACCAACCTCGTGGACCCATCAATGCAAAGGAGCCCTGGGCACCGCAGAAGCGCAGAGCTGCTCCTCCAACCCACAGCAGCCCTTAAAGCACAGAAATTCTCCATCAGACCCCATCGGTGCAACCCACCATCCCGGCTCCCAGAGACTTGGGGAACCTTCTTGAGGCTGTCCTTGCACCCAACGAGAGGAGCACAGGGAGGGGAGCAGGGCTCTGCCCTGGGGGAGCTGGACCTGCCAAATCGGTGCCATGACCAGTTCCTCGCCAGGTGGGAAAGGGGAGGGTTGCAACAACAATGCGGAGAATCTCACACAAAATTCAGCCAAGCCAGGCTCAAGGCGAGGTGAGCTCTCCCCGCTGCTGAGGCTGGGGAGACTCCCTTTAAGTAAAAAAAAAAAAAATCAAGTCTGGTTTAAAACCAGAGGGATGGCAGTGCAGGACCCAGGCATGCTTATTCCCAAATCCTCTACATTGCACAATGACCCAAACCGTCACAAAATGAACACTCAGGCGGCTCTTGCAACATCCCCGCTGCAGAGCTGGCAGGGATGAGCACAGAGAATTGGGCCCCACGTTTGGAAAGCGCCTGGTGATGTTCAGGTGAAAGGAACCAGAGAAACCCAAACTGCTTTTATCCCTCCCTCTCCAGCCCTCAGAAGTGGTTACTACTAGAGAGCAGCCGCTTTGCCAGGCTTGTTTGGACACTTGTGAGGTCTTTGAGCTTTCCCGGAGTGCTCAAATTCAACTTTTTTAGAGGGTTTAGAAGCCCATCTGTGCTCCTGGCCCTTTAAGCCAAGTCTCAAGCCCAGATGGGAGTTTTAAACCCCTGTAAATAGGGGGTAGAGGGAGCTGCCGGTGGCACACCCTGCTCTGCAGCGGCACAACCGCATCTCAGACTCTCCAGCCTACATGTGGAGAGCCTCCTCAAAGCCAGCTTCAGCTACAAGAGGATGGAGGGAGGCTGTAATGATTCCCAGACAGCCTGATAACCTGGGGGGTTGCCTGTGAAGGACCCCTGCCCTGTTGTATCCGATGCTTTCCAGGCATGGGAATTGACTCTCATCATTCAAACCACTCGAACAGCTACAGATCACGGAGCCCCAGTGCCACGTCCAGTTACTGGAGGCTGACACCCACACCCCACTTTGCTCATTTCCTACTTCACCTCTTCAGGCGGAGGTATTCCCTCCCTCCAGAATAGATAAAGAAATGAATAAATGAACAACTAAATGTCTGCTTGCCCCTTACCTCCCACTGAAGCCGGACCCTGGTGCTCCCATGCCGGCTTCAGAGAGGTGCTGGTTTGGCTGAAACCCTCTACAAAACACCCCCAGCACCGGGATGGTTTTGGACCACCGAGAGAACGCACTTCCAAATTCAACCGCGTTCCTGCACGTGCAGGTTCAAGAGCTGACTCAAGTCTGTGAAACGTGAGTTGCTTTGGAAAGTAACTTGGCTGTTTCCCCTGTAGGAAGGAGGTCTGTGGACTCCTCCAGAGATAAAGCAGAAGCCGGAGGGACCTTCCCGCGCATAGCCAGCACCAGATCTAAAAACAGTATCTACAGCCCTTTATTTAATTTTACAATTCTGTGCCTGAACAGGTAGGAAGAAAAGGTTTAAAACTCTCAGAGATGCCAAAGGCAGGAGGAAGAGCAAGCCTGAGGCTTTCATGAGAAGGGGGAAGAGAGCATCTCTTCAGGTTTGGAGAACAGAGGTTTTCTGGATAGGCAGCAAGCCAGGCAGCGACTCCCCAAGCTCAGACACTGAGAAAACACACCTGAGGTTTGCTTCCGAACCAGAGAGAAAGCAGCTTGGTCTGTTTAATGGAAAGATTTGGCAGAGTCCCTCCCAGCTCGACGGTCTCCGTAGCGGCGCGATCCCTCCGAGAGACACCTACGCTGCCTCCCTTTCCTACGGGACGGGGCGGCTCAGAGGACACCATTTACGTGGCCAAAACGAGCCCTTCCCCACAAAGCCAGGCTAACAGCAAACCTCCAGCCCAAGTGTTGCAAGCGGCGTCTCTCCCGAGTGCTGGGGGAATGCGAGTCCGGACAGGTCGAAAGAAGCTTTGGTTGGGGAGGGGG